ATCGTCACTTGCCATTAAAATTAATAAATCTTGAGGTTCCCCCTTTCAAGTATCGATCCCGATCGATACTATCCAAAATGAAAAGTAATTGATATCGGATTACGATATTTAGCTTTTTTTTCATATTCAGAAAAATTAATCCCATTTATTTTAATTCCAATCATTAATTACATTGATCCCAGTTTTGTTTAAAATATGAAATTATGAAAATAGTGAAAAAAGTAATTGGTTTTTTCTTTCCCTGAATCTCTTAGTGATTTCTTCTGTTTACAAAAGCTTAATCTTAAGCTTCCTGAATTGATCAACCAATATTCCGAGGAACGAACAACTTTAATTTTCACTTGTACAAGAAAAGATTGTCAAACAACTGCTGAATTCTTGTCTCAAAACTGTCCATTCAACTACAAGCCATTTCAAAGGGATAAGTTTGCCATACTTTCACAATCTATTGATAACAATAGATTGAAAGCTACTCTACTCAAAGGAATCGGTTTCTATCATGCAGGCCTTTCTCCAGATGATCGTCAAAAACTTGAAATAGCTTTTTTAAATGGAGAAGTTCGTATTATAGTTGCAACAAGTGCTCTTGCCTCGAGTGAAGACCTTTCTGCTCACCTGGTCATCATCAAAGGAACTAATTATTTTATCAATGGAAGCTCTGTTGAATATGAAGAGTCTACTGTATTGCAGATGTTGGACATAGCGGGTAAATCAGAGCTTGATGACTGTGGATGTGCCATCATTTTAACTAGAAAAGAAAACGAGACAAAATATAAAGGGCTAGTTTCAGGGGAAAAGATGATTGAAAGTAACATTTATAATTTTTTCCCCGAAATTTTTATGACTGAAATCGAAAGGAATGCGATTTGTTGTTTGAATGATGCTGTTGGTTGGGTTCGGTCAACTTTTTTTTATATACGAATCCACAAAAATAAGCAATATTATGGGTTGGATCCAAACTGCACAGAGGAGCAAGTGGACCAAAAATTAAAAGAAATCTGCATCAAAGAGTTGAATAGCTTTAAAAAGTACGAGATGATTGAAATAACTGCCGATGGAATTATTAAAGCAACAAAAATTGGCCGACTGATGGCTGCTCAATCGATTTCATCTCAAGCAATGCAACAATTTTTGAAACTTAAAGGGAATGAAAACTTATACGATTTACTTACCGTTCTAACCAGATGCAAAGATCTCAACCAATCCGTCATCTTAAAGACTGCAGATGAAAGAGTTTTAAGTAAATTCAACACTTTTTCAAACTATAATCGTGTGATACGATTTCCATTATCAGGTCCGATAAAAAGCAATGAAATGAAAATTAACGTGCTCATTCAAGTAGTTCTTGGTTGCATTCCACTTCCCGAAGATTTCCCTCTGCTACAAAAAATTGACGAAATGATTAATATTTGTCAAATGCTCAGCAACTGTTTGATGGACATTGCTTTCATCAAAGCTACAAATCTGAACTTCTTACTAAACTGCATCATTCTGGCTAAATGTTTAAAAGTTGGACTCTGGGAAAACTCGAGATATGTTTGCAATCAGCTTAACGTAGTCAACTCAAAAATCGCTCGCAAGCTAGTCAACGCTAACCTTTGTTCATTTGAGAAAATTGAACACGCTGATCCAAGACTGATCGAAAACGTTTGTCAATGTGATGTTACTTTTGGTGATCATGTAATTGAAGAAATAAAAAGAATTCCGAAATACGAAGTTACTATTGAAAATACCCAGATAACATCAGTTGATTACTCGCAAACAATTAGGATCAAAGTTAATCTTACCAATTGGGAGGTTATTGCAAATGACACTGATAAACTGGGAAAACTTAGTTGTATACTATTAATTGGTGATCAAGACAATGCAATTTTAGTAAAAGAAAGGATATTTACTCAACATTTAATCATGCTGACTGGAGTTTATGAAAAAGATTTCCCAATTCCAGCCTCAGCAGCATCCATTTTCATTCACTTTATTGACGAATTTTATGTTGGAACTGATATTTCATCGGAATATTTTCCGAAATATCTCTTATCTCATGAACAAAACAGCATTCGGAAAATTCAAGCAATCAAACAATTTGATGACATTTTCAATGCATCGCCTAAACTGGAATAATTATTTTATATTTCAATTTCATTTCATTTCAACTTTTATTGAAAATTGACAAATACTTGACTGTCAAGCTTTCTGTTTGTTATTGTTTCAAATGTTCATTGTTTACTATTGTTTTTGTTATTAATCAGAAACTCTATCTGATTGACTCTTAAATTCTGTTATCCCAATGGGGAAAAATGTTTTTATTTTTTCTTTTGATTCTGTTTTTTTTGTTAAAAAGTCAACATTAAATTATTGTTGCCTCTAAACCATCACAGTTGTTTTATTTACCTTTTTTAATGATTAAGGATTACTTTTTAAAACAAAACTTGCACATTCAATTGTTAGGATAACTTCATTTCCTCTCGACTACAATAGTAGCTCAATGTTGAACCTAAATTGAGCTTTATTCAGATATGAGCGAAAAAAGAATCCTATCAACTAAAGGTACTTACAGAATATTGTTAGATAAAAGGAAATGCGTTTAGTTAAAGCTCAGCAGAAGCAAACAAAATTGAGCATTTAGTAATCACAAAACAAGTCAGCTTTTACCTTTGCCAGGTTTTTATTAACCAATTTTGAATTCCTTCAAGTTACTCTATTCACATTGGACTACTTTCACTTGTTTTTTTCTTCATTTCACTCATTCTCATTATCCACGAGCTTTGAAGAACAAGCTCAGAAAATCTCTCTGAAAGTGGGAAAAAATTGATAACACTGTGAGTAAAATTATGCGATTAATTTTATCCAGTGAACCATGAGCAAAAAAGGTCATCAGAATCGGTTAAAAGAGAGTGATTAAAGAGCTAACCAAAGTATTGTTGTTATGTATATAAACCATGCTTTTGCTGCTGTTTATGCTCATCAAATGGTATAACATCAATTGAAAAGACTCCAGAATAAAGAAGTAATGGTTGTTGGTAATTTTTTTTGGTTAAATTTTGGTTTCATTCAAGTCAGGAGATATTATTGTTCTAGGATGAGCCATTAGTCTCTGATGATTCCTTTTGTTGTTACCAATTTATCGTTGGACCCTTTTTTTGTCTGTATTCCTGTGTATATGATATAAAAAGAGATAAATAGAGATGAAAACATAAGACAGAAAGCAGGATAATCTTTTTATCTAC